CGCCCCGCCATGCCGGGCTTCGACTACAAGTTCCTGGAGAAGCCCAAGCGGCGCCTGCTGTGCCCGCTGTGCGCCAAGGCCATGCGGGAGCCGGTGCGCGTCTCTACCTGCGGCCACCGCTTCTGCGACACCTGCCTCCAGGAGTTCCTCAGGTGAGGCCGGGCAAGAGGGAGGACACGGCGGCCGGCCCCCGATCCCCCGGAGCCGCCGGGCTGGCCGGGGAGCCGCCCTCTCCAAAAGGCGCTTGGAGAGCCCTCGGCGCGCCCAGGGCGCACGGCGCCTCCCGATCCCTTTGTTCCGCCTCCTTCTTTCCAGGCAGGGCTTGAAGACCCCCGGCCGCCCGCCCTTCGTTCTCTCCGGGGCGTCCCTTTGGCCCCCTCCCTTCCCCTGGGCCAAAGCGGGCTCGATCCGGAGGAGGAGGGGGAGGAAGGGAGAGCTGGCGGGGCGCGCCTCTCCTCTGGGCATGGACAGAGCGCGCAGCCCGGCAAGGCAGGTCTGCCCCCCCTCGCCCTCCCCCAAGATACACGATCGCCGAACCTTTTGGGCGGAGAGAGGCGGGAGGAAGCAGCTTCACGCCCCGCTGCCCTTTGGACCGGGTGGGGAGCGCTGTCCGTCGGGAACGGTGGTGGTGAGGAAGCCGGGCGGGCGGGTGTCTCTTCCGGGGTCTGGTGGCCCCCCCCCGTGGCAACCTCCCGAGGGACCCTTGGTGTTTCCGCCTCCTCGTGACGGCTAGGATAGAGCTTCCTTGTTCAGGTGCAGTCTACCCCGAAAGAAAGGTCCCCAGTTTGGAGCTCTTGCCGAGTAAGGTTTGGAAAAAGTTGGACTGGAGGCTTCTTTTCTTTTCTGGAGGGAGCGGGTGGCAGAGAAGCCGCCAGGTGCTCCAAATCATTCCCTAACTGAAATTGTGAGCCTGGGTGGGGATTATAGTCCCTTGTGCCCAGAAACAGAATATTTCTGAGGGCTGAGCCTTTTTTGTGGAAAACTTTTGTGTCCAGGTCCTGGGTTCAAATCCCAAGCATCCCTTGATAGCCCTGTCTAGAGTCCTAGAGAGCTGCTGCCAGCCCCTGTCTAGAAAACTAGCCTAGGTGGACCTTGCGTTTGACCTATGGATCGTGGCCTCCCCTGTTCCTGTTTAAATCAGACTTTGTACCAAAGTTTGAGGACTAGGCGCTTACTTCTTCCACCGGGTCTTCAGCAGCAGAGCACCAGCTTTCATTTAGAAGGGGGCAGGTTCGGTTGCTGGCATCTCCCCAGGCATGTTGTTTATTCATTCCATTAATTTGTACCTTGTGCTTCCCTGTTCCTCTTTTCTCAAGGCCATGGTGGGGGGGGGCGGTTCATGACACTGATGTCGGCCATGAGAGACAAGCCAGGGAGGGGCTGCTGGACAGTGCTGGCACTATTGAGCCCAGGGGTCAGCTGGGCTGATGCAGGTCAAGGATCCTCTTCTCAAGAGCCCTAAATGAAGAGAGATTGATTTCATTTTTCTCCAGTGCCCCTCAGACCAGAGGCTGGGGGGGGGGAACCCATGTTTTTGAACCCCAAGATATTTTGTAACCCTTTGCCAAACCATTCCCTCCCCCCCCTACGCAGCCTGCATGGTTTGGAGGTGCATTTTTGGGGAGACCCTTTTTGAGATGTGTTTTTGGGGACCCCCTGCAGTAACACCCCTTCTGGTTGGGAACACCTGCTTCGATCAGAGTGCCCCTCCTGACCCCGAGGGACTAGAACCTTAAACCTTCTTTGGGATAGGAAAGGCC